GCCTTCAACAAGCTTACTGCAAGCAGCACTCCTCCTACACTGGACCGTAAGCAGAAGATGGCCTTCTTAAAGAGTTTAGAAGAATTTATGGCAAATGTTGGTGGACTTCTCTGTGTAAAATAAACAACAAAACTCTATGCCTAATTTAGACCCTTTCTGCAAAAATGCACTGAGAAATGCTGAATGCTGACTAAATCTTGTACCTGTCTCTGGGTTCTTTGCAGCCGTCTCAGATTCTAGACAGCCTGGAAGTTTGAACATAACACCACGGAATAGGAGAGGTCACCTTTGAATCAGCTTCTGCTATTATGTGTTAGCTGCAATCTGGCATACTTGGGTGTGGAAGAGAATGAACAAAAAATCTGAATTGAATTTTTTTTCCATTCATGTGCAAAGAGATATGGGCACAATGAAATAAATGCAGTGCCTTTCCCCTGTACTGGTTTAAAATATGAGTGGTCATGTAAACAGATTTCTTTTCTACCCAAAATCATGTTAGAGTGTGATGCAGATACATATAAAGCTCTAAACAGTTTAGCTGATTTTAAGCTTTATTTTTCCTCTCTTAAAGTTTGAGTTTGTGTTCCAATGGGGAAGAAAAACCAAATGGTATTTTAACTTGTGTTTAGTTACGTTTTTCTACATCAACCTGATATTGCAGGTTTAATGCAATGCAGGTTTTTACGTTATGTTCTGCTGCCTAAAGTTCAGAGAAAATAAAAGGTGTATATTTTTGTTCCCCAAAAATGAACTTTAGGAACTGTAGCCATTTCATTGCCTTAATTTAAAAGAAAAAAAAAAGTTCATATACTTTAGGTAAGAAATTTAAGGCAAGATTTGACTCTTGAGAGTTGGTTTAGGATGTTGGCACTGAGCTGCTGTGTACATGTTGCAGCCCTTCATGTTGATGTGTTGTTTTGGAACAAGTGTCTAATGCAAGGTTCATGTGTAGTTTTACTTTCAGTATCTGTTTTGATTCTCACCTGGGTTGCACACAACTGCAATGTATTTCTACGCTGAACTGTTTGCTTAAGCAATAACAACCCAAAAGGTGTGAATTACTGGCAAACTTAGTAAAGTTGGGCATTAGCTAAAACAATTATGCTAGCACAGGGGCAACAAAACCTTTTACTCAAGCGTGTCTGTTTGACTCCAGTGGGGAAGGGTAGTTGAGAAGTCTCTGCTGTAGGAGATTTTTGTTTTGTGCTGAATCTAGTCCCACTTCTGCAGAGCTCTCCCAGCTGCTCTACTCTTGCTTGGTGTTTTATATCAGCACTTTAGCTTTTATTATAGCAGAATATAGTGCCCTGAGTATATAGAACCAACAAGGGAGAGCAGCACATGAATATGAAAGCAAGGCCTGCTTTGTCTCCTGTCATGAGCCAGAGGAAACTGAAGCAAACACAAATGCTGCATGTCTAGTAAAATCATTTTTGTGGAAATACACAAAGGCAGAAGTGGGCCCTTCTGTTTAAGATCTGTTAGATTATGCTGTTAAATATTTCCCATGTGTTTTTACAATTTATATAAAAAGTCTGGTATACACCTTTATATGGCTATGTATAGTTTAGTATTTGCAATTCTGTGCCATTCTTCAGCTATTCATCTCAAAATTAGTTACAATAGCCAGAATCTCACAACAGACACAAATCTCTAATACTCTGCTATAAGTGATCTAAGGTTTGTTCGGTTTTTTTGTTTGTTTGATTGGGGTTTTTTGTCTTGTTTGGGTTTTTTTTTCATTTTTTGTTGGTTTGGTTTTTTTTTGTTTGTTTGTTTGTTTGTTTGGTAAGTTAAATCCATAAGTGTCTCAAGCATGGATCCACAAGGCCAAAAATGCCATCCCTTTATTATAATTTTCTCCTTTAGTTTATGTGAAAACTGGGCAAGGGCAGATTTACACATTACAAAGTGACCATAAAACTCCTTAGATAATAGTGTACCTTCCCAGATAGTATTTTATTTCTAAGATAACTTGCATAGTATTTTAGAATAGGGGTATTGCTCTCAATTTTTTCTTTACACTCTAGTGGTTTTCTTTAAAAGGATTTCTTGACCGTGCACTTGCACAAAATATAATCATCCTGGCAGATCATTCTGTTTCAAACTGTTATGATGGCTGAGTTTTTCTTTTTAATTTGGGGTTTGTTTTTTGAAGTTTTTCTGAGTTTATACATTGGATGCGGCAGAAGTTCTGAAACCTCATTTTTTTTCAGATAAAGGGCATTGAAGCCTGGGAACATCAACACCAGTAGGAGCTGCTGGTTTGTTATGATGTGCCTGATGTCAGGTATCTAGACTGAAGTCTTCAAAGAGATCATAGCAAATATTCCGTGTTTTGGGTCTGACTGAGTAACTGATACACTCAGTCATCCTTTCTTTTATAACTAGCTCTGTCACTATTGTTTTATTAATACTAAAACTGGCTCACTATTTAAAAATATTTATTAACTTTAAAGGGTTAAAATCTCTTGCATATTGTGATAAACAGGAGCACAAATTGAGTTTGTATTCTGGGCAAAAAATGTGCATGCCCATTATTTTTCTTTTCAGGCGCATTGTGTTGTAACAAGCAGAAACACACAGCATTTTTGAGTACCAAGACTTTAACTAAAGTATGAACACCCACTTTCAAAGACTACTTTTAAAGGTGGTTTAAAAATTTCCTTTGCTGTTAGTTTAAAAATAATATTATATGTTAAAGGAAAACTGTCCTAGTAAGGGTTTGGTTTTTTTTGTTATTTCCTGCTTGATGTTACACTTTTCCTGTTTTTTAATTTTTCTTTCATTCTCATATTTTCAACGGGGATCTTTCCATGCCATTTTATATTTGTTTTAGAGCAATGCTAAGATGTCTTTGTTTAGTGGCATTCATGAAATAGTTGCAAAGGCTTCTGGAAATAAGTTCTGTTCATTCATACTCCTCCTGGTGACTGCTTCTACCTGAGCTATTTGACTTCTGCATCCCTACCAAAAAAATAGAAAAGAAGAATCTTCTGTGATCTTCTACACATCCAATTGCTGTAAATCAGGGTGTGAAAGCACACTGAGGTCCACAGGAAAGACTCAGACTGTAGGGAACACTGAGAGCTGAGTTAACATAAGTGTTCTGAAAGTTTTATAGTATCATTGCATTAATTTTCCATTCACTATGGAAAGTGAATAATGGTTCTAAAATTGCACCTGTTCTTTGAAGGAAGAAAAAAGGCAATTCAAACCAAGTTATAAATGCTGCATGATACAACTGTAACAAATATATTTGTCTAGACTTTTCTTGCTGAAACAAATTATTGGACCAGTGTTTTAATTCTGAGACTAGCTTCTTTTCCTTTTTGCCAGCTCCTTCCCCATTGTAATAGTTCTAATGCTGGCATAATAATTTTGTTCAACCTATAGTTTTCAACGCTGACAAGCATGACCATCGAGTACAATCATAAGATTCAAGACCTTGTTGAAAGCACAGATACACAGGGACAGGGAGGAGTGGACTGGATGCATGAAACTTCCACTTTCATGTGCATTTATGCCTTAAATTAGCTTCACTAATTACTGCCAGAATCTGCTACTTTTTGCCCAGAGGTTTGTGTTTCACTATTTAATGGTAAAGGGCTCACCTTTTTTCTCAGGAATGATAAACTTGTTTTCTCAGCATGTCCAAATCCTACTAGTTGAAAGAGAGGGGTTTGAATTGGAGTCATTGTGGAGTCATAGTGAGAAGAACTCACTAAAGCCCCAGTGTTTACCTGGGCAAATCCCTTTATATCTAAGCCATGTAGTTCTAGAAAATAAGCTTGTTCTGAGCAGTTGTCCATTTAAAATCTAGTTATTGAAAAGGGAAAGCAGATTCTAATTTGTGATCTGTAAAACTATTAAAAAAATACAAATTTGCAGCATTTTGCTTGTAAAACACTTCAAGTAACTTCAGGTTTGGTTAAGTAATTACATAAGAAGGGTGGGTTTTTTTATGGAAGTAGCTTGATGAATATAAGCGCAGGAGTAGGAGCCAGGCTCCTCTAATTTTGTAATGTTTTTCCACGGGATCCTCTGTGGCCATTGGCAAGTCACTAAAACTGTGTTGTTGTTAAAATAGCATTAACACCTACCTACCTCACAGGGATGTTGTGAGGATTAGCTTATGCCTATAAAATGCATTGAGGATCTGAGATGCTATGTAAATATTATATACTTTAATTTTAGTTTTGTGAGGTGTAAGATTTACTATAATGAAAACAGAAGATTTTCATAATGGTAAAGCCCAGTAGAGGCAGCAATGGTGCAGTATTCCCAGGACTGATCTACTGCAGTACATTAATGCTTGCTGTAAATTGTCATTATTTCAATTACAGCTGATTGAAATGGTGGCTTTGTCTTATATAAGGTGAGATTCCCCACCAGTGTGCCTCAGTTGTGATCTTCTAAGAGAGAGGACAGTTATTGGTTATTCAGGCTTTGGTACCTCTGCTTGTGACAAGTGCTGCTTGTGGTGGTAGGGTTTTTCGTTCAATTTACTTTTGGGTTTTTTTACATTTTTCAACAAGGAACAAATACCGCATGTTTCTCTTGTGTCTGTTCCAGTCACTAAGTATAACCAAAGCCTAATGATAGCAATTAAAATTTAAAGAGCCAGCCCTACTCCCCTGTCCCCCCCCCACCCATAAATTAGCATTTGAGTAGCTTGTGCTCTGTTTTCAGTAACTTAGATCAATGTTTTCTAGCACTGATCATGAAGCAAATAATGAAGTGTGTTTTGCTTTAGAGCCTCAAACTCCCAGCTATCTTATAAAGCCCTTTTTTCAGTATGAGATTTCTTGGGGCCCTAGAAACTGAGAAGCAAGATACCTCTGGCTTTCCCTTCTGTTCAGTGAATTAAAATTTATTCTGCTTTTTCATTTCTTCCCATTCTCCCACCCTGCTTTTCCTGTTGTTTTAAGATGCTCTTAAGCAGATTTGGAAGGTCCTTCCAACCTCAAGAGGAAGATACTACTACCCATGTAATTTTCCAATCTGTTACAGCTTGATACTTGAAATTGATAAAAACCTCTCTAATAGTATTTGCCACACATTTCAATCTCCCATTAAACCATTCTGGAGTTTTTTAATTAGGAAAGAAATACCTATATTATTTGTTCTCTATTGTGCAAAATAAGAAACCTCTCTATTGTGCAAAATAAGAAACCTTCATGCAGTGAACATGCAGTTTTAAGGCAATAAATGCTAGTACTGCTGTTGGTCAAGTGTGTAAATATATTAAATGTGTCGTTCAATACTGTGTTGAGTTTATATATTAAAAACACAGATTGAAGTGCTAGTTGATTTCAAGTATTGTTTTATCTGTACAGTTGAAGATATGAAGTTGCATAGAAGTATTTCACATTTTATTGCAATAAGACTTGGGAAATGGCTGTGTAATCAAGCCTTATCATGACTGAATTTTCAATTTTGAAATGATCACTTTGTGTATTTTTAAGATCCATAAACAGGAAGAGGATAAAATTGTTTTCCACTAAAGACTTTTTTTATTTTGTTTTGGCCATGTGTGATTTGTGTGTATTCTTGTTTAATATTTTTCTAAAATCTCACCTGTGTTGAATATCT